CTTGCACATGGAAGAGTTACACTTTTATACTTTTTATATATGAATTACCTCATATACTTTCATAATGACAGATTAAGGAAAAAGAAAATGCGAGGGAAACTCAGCATGGACAATTTTCCACAAGGATTCAATCTTTGCCTGAATCATACTAATCCTTTGATTAGACTCAAGGAAAGGCTTGGATTACTGTAGGGTTCCTGATGTACCAACTATTTACAAATATATCCCACATTTGAAAGTCCCACACTCTCAAAGCTTCCACCTAGAAATGAATTATCTCACTTTCAGTTAGTTTTTATTGGCCAAAGTACGCAGCCATAATGAGCATCATAGTTTATCTTTCTGTTCCCCAAATATTTGGCTACCTCTTACTCAAAATTTCCATCAAGACATTGCATCCAAAATCTCTCAGTGATGCTCGTTAGTCTGCTTACCAGGCCTGAACATGACTCTGACGCTTAAGGTCTACGACTGTCCTGGAGAAGTTTATCTCCCCTGTATTCATCACGCAATGGTGGAAGAGGGATGGGATGAGCAATATAAGTATTTCCTTTTAGGAAAAGGAAAGCATGGGGAAAACAGCAGCTTCAAGGGAAGGGAAATTCTGAAATCCAGTTAAGCCTAGTCTTTACAGTGGGGATAGAAAGTCTTTGATTCTGATTCTGCTCACAGGCAGAGCTCCTTGCTCAGTATCCCATCTTAGTGCTTGAGCTGTTGTGCTAGAAGATTCTTTTCTTCTACCCTTTAACCGCATCTAAAATAGATTCTGAATTTTTTTTTTCTGCCATTGAGTGCTGAGATGTTCTCTCAAGCGGCTCCTTAACTGTGGACAGCTAGACACCTAAAATTGTTACATGCCTTCAACAGCCCTGACCGTTATCAGTTCAAATATGTGCTTTTTTTTGGTAGGAAACTTTGCTGGCAACATACAAGTATCAGATCTACTAGATTCATTCAGTTCTAAGTGCCCACAACCACACACAGTTCATTTTTAAATATACTAACTCATTTTGCTGAAGTTCTCATGTCTCCACCTTTAATTAGGAATCTACTACGCATTCATCTTCCCCCCCCCAAAACCCCATTTCTAAATGGGAAAGATCAAACCTTTCATTTTAACTTGCTCTTTTTTTTCTCAATATATTCAGAGGTTTTAGCAATGTTTGAAAACTATATCCTTGATGAGTTTTAATTCACCTTTATAATTCTCAGTTTCTCTTTTACAAGTTGAAAAAGATCTTTTATTTGTGGGTGTTAACTATACTCCTTTATTTGTCTTTTGTTTTGCCTAAAATGGCATTCTTTTCTGAACTTCTCTCTTTCTCATAATACCTTACCAAATGAAACCAACAACAACCGGCACACACAAGAAACATCACTTTCTCATCTTCACTAAAGCTACTAATCCTCTATGGAGTATCTTCCTTTCAAATTATTTCAGGCAACAAATTCACCCAAAGTATCACTGGTATCATCCTTCCAGCTCCCAGTAACACTTTCTTGTTGTTCACTAGCTTGTTACTAGCAATGTTATGTGTTAATGTTGTATATTAATTTCTATAGAAATTCCAGGTATTACCTGCTGGAATATGCTATATTGTAACTATGCCATGAAAAGGCCACACAAGCAACATGACAGTGGTTTGATCCAACAAAATTTAGTTTTTATTCTAGCTACATGTTCAACAGAGGGAAATAGAAGAACTTTGCTCCTTGTGGTTGCTAAGGACTCAGGTTGACAGAGCTCCCATGTGATGGAGGCTCCATTGACTGTAGCTAGTCACTTGGCTATAGCTAACTTCAAGATGGAGGGAGAAGTATAATACTACCAGATGCTTGGAAAGAAAGCTGGAATGTTTGTGAAGTCTTAATGAATATTATAATTATTGTAGCAAAATAGTAATTGGTTCTAGTTTTTAATATTTTAATTTGCCCATCTGTGATACAGATGTGGAATGCACAAGAATTCTTAGCAATCCTGATATTTTCCCCAAGTCTATTTTTTTATATTCTTCCCAATATGCTTAATAACAATCCCATTTGCTATTTTATTTTTACCAAAAATCTTGTTATCTTTCATGTTTTCCTTTCTAATATCCAATGTTCATTTTGGTAGTCCATCTTAGACTGTCTTTACCTCCAAAATGTCTCAGTGATACATCATTTCTCTCGAGTTTACCTCTGACATTTATTTCTAAGCTACCATTGCTCCTTACCTCCTACTTGGTTGTCTTATGTTTATTCACTAAACCATGTATTTATTTTAACACATTTGTCATCATTATTGTTTAATGCATAAAACACATCACATTCTCATAAAATCCTCCAATTCTTCCTCTTTTCACGGTATGATGCAACCCCTCGCATTCTTTTATCCTTCTTACATTTTTTCTCTTCCCAACTTGCTGACTCTGCTTCAGTCACAGCATTTTCCTGGTAACTCCTGAAATATGCAATTACTTGGTGGTTATTTTTTCTACCATAGATTTAATGATTCGTTCGCTCACTTTTCAGGTGTTAGCTCCACCAACCCTTTGTCAATGACATCTTTGATGGCCAATATATTAAAATTGCCACACTTTCAATAACCTCTACACCCACTTCTGCTATGTTTTATTTTTATTTCATAACAATTATTACTCTTAATATGCTAATTTTTTAGTTATTTATTTTATTGTGTCTATCCATTTGAATGTCAAACCCAAAAGAACAAGGTGTTTGTTTTGTTCCCCTCCTTACTTTTTTTTTCTTCCTATGTCTCTCTCCTTTCTTTCTCTTGTCTGTTTTTTCTCTCCCCCTCCTCTCCTTCCTTCTTTTCTGTTCCTTTTGTCATCATGTCATTCATCAATATAATCATCATTCTTATTACTTTTTAATCTTTTCACGCTGCTGTGCTGTACAGCTTTTCAGTACCTAAACCAAAACAGTGCCTGACACATAATCACTCAGGAAAGTTTGGTAAATAAATGAAAATAAACAGAATAAAATTGGTTCATGAAAAGGCAGAGGCACAGAACTAAATTTAGTGTCACCTTGGAAATTTTGCATAAGGTGACAATGGCATTGTTGTGAGTGATAACAATATGGTTTTGCCATAAGTATAAAGCCATCTGAAAATTTTGAAGTTGAGTTGAGTAGAAAGTTGAAGCTCACTACAGAATAATTAACATATACAAAATTAAAATTTTCTAAAAATAACAAAAGCCTTAAATAATTAGAACTTTGGGTGGGTACTTGTTAGCATGAAATAAAATGTACAAATTATACAAAACAGAATTCAAAATCTGAATTATCACTTAAATGTAAGCAGTTCATAAAAATTATTAGACATTATTGTAGAAGCTTTTTCACAGCAAAGGCAACTGTCAAGAAAACTACTAGGCAACTACTACTATGATGTGGGAGATGTCTTCAAACAGTGTGTCTAATAAAGGGTTAACATTCAAAATATGTAAAGAAATACAAATCAATTACCAAAACCCAATAAGCCAATTTAAAAGTGCAATATTCCAGAGAAGACAAATGGCCAGCAGATATGTGAAAGGCTTCTTAACATTGCTAATCATCAAGGGAATGAAAATCAAAACCACAATGAGCTATCACTTCATGCACACCTGTTGGAATGACCATCAAAAGGACAAGAGATGACAAATGGCTGTGAGGATGTGCAGAAAAGGGGACTCTGTACACTGTTGATGGGAATGTGATATTGCTGCAGTACATTGGAAAACATCTGGATGACTCTAAAACTCAAAAATAGATCTACCATATAATCTAGAAATCCCATTTCTGGCTATATATTCAGAGGAAATAAGAACAAAATATTAAAGATCTATCTCCATGTTCATCACAACACAACAAATGAGAAACAATGAATGAATAGCTAAGAAATATCTATATCTCTTATGTTCCACACATATACTATATATATTAATGTATATATAGAAAGAGAAAGAATAACATTCTTGCATACATGATCAAACAAATACTATTCAACATGAGAAATAAGGAAATCCATAACACTGTATTATTTAAAAACATAAAACATAAAAAACAATAATTAATGTTTTCTTCTTGGAATGCTTTTGAGTTACTTATTCATGCATTCATTCAGCAAATATTTTGTGAGAATCAGAACCAACCTCTAATTAGGTGTTGGGTACATTTCAATGACCAACACAGATAAAAATCTCTGTCATTGGGTTTGAAACCACTTATTGAATGTTTAGTATGCACCAGACACTGTGTGGAATTATAAAGATGAACATGGTTCCTGCTTTTGAATCCTTGTTAAGGAAATATATGTGAGTATAACATCACACAAAAATCCTACATGACATTATATTTCTAAAACTGAATGGTTTTTGAAAAAAAAAAGTCTATGTTAAGTGTACTATAAAAAAAGTAAAACAACATCACAGAAAAAAAGGATTTCAAATTCATAAGTTAAGCATTGGGTTAATTTTCTGACTATATGAACAGCTCTTAAAAGTCATGAAACAGGGTGAGAAATAAAGAATACTAAGGCACAAACATTGTCACCAGAGAGAAAAAGAAATAGAAATGACTCTTAAATGTGTAAGAAAAAAAAAATTATGATGTCACTGCTAATGCGCAAACAAAAAAGCAAATAAGAACTTCAACAAAATAGAATTTTTAAAATAAAAATACTGACACGGATAATTTTTAAATACATTGGTGTTTAAGGAAATGGATAAAATTATACTTATAGAGTAAGCAGATTACAAAGAAGAATCTATCGTAGACTATGGAAGTATATAAAACCTGGCCATGTATTTACTATTTTGTGCTAACACTTTGTTTTCTCAAGAAATACGTTTGTCCTTTAAGATACTTTGATACATTCTGCCTTTAGAGAGTTATTTTGAGTTGGTTGTAAGATTGGTTGACGTTATGGAGCATTAGCTCTAGATTTTGGATACTTTGTAGAAAGTTTATCGAGAATATTTTGTTTTATCCATACTGAGAAACTATCTTACGGCAAAGAAAAGTTTTAGTTGTTCTTGACAGATATAAATTTTGCCAGGATCAAACTGTGATGTACACCTTGGAATTAAACGTAACCACACGCATCGTTCAATGCTGGGGACGGACCCCAGGGCGGTGTGCTCCTGCTCCCCAATCTTCTTCCCAACTCTGCAGCAGCGCCTGCCTTCCAGCAGGACTCCAGACTGGCTTATTCTGCTATCGGTGACATCTGAGCTCTACAGCATATGCCCAAAATGAAAGGCAAAAATTAATACACGATTGCTTCTTGGAAGTCTGAGAGGAGGAAGAAGATATTTAAAGCAACTGAATCGGATGCTTGTTTGTTGTTCTGCTTTTGGATTCTTTTCCGTTGTCCTCCTACTCTCTGTTTTCCCCTTCTGCTTCTAATTTACCCGCGGCGTCCCACAAAGTCCTCTTGCACCTCCTAGACTGGCCGTATTTTCTACAGGCTCTGGGATTAGAAGAACGTTGTTTTAGCGGGACTGAATGTTAAAGAAGACCAGTAGGAGGAAATGTAGCGAGATCAGACGGTGAGGGCACTGAAGCTGTCTCAGAAATCTTGCCTTGAGGCCCAGAACATAAACCTAAACTACCGGTAGGAAACGATAAATCCTTCATTTCAGCGCAAGGATTGTAGCACACTCTCTCCACTCATACGGAGGTTAAGAGAAAGCCGTTTATCTTGTCTAACCTTTTAAAGTTGGTCCAGAAGCTGACTGGTGGAAGGGGACAGAAGCGATGGGAAAATACTACCTACAAAGTCTCCGTTCTCACTGGCAGTCCTCTGGAGGAGGAAGCTATGCATCCACACAAAAATGCTTTTATGGTTTGGCTGCATTTCTCTGGCTTCAGTGGGAGGCTGGATTCAAGGGATTACTTCAGGGAGATCTGGGCCCCACTTCGCTACAGATACATTTTTCTGTCTCTGATAGTGATGATCCCTAAACAGCCTCAGTCACTCTGTTGCAACCCAGATGTGAGTTATACACTGTGATGCAAAGAGGATTAAAAAAAAAAAAATTAGTCCAGTATGTTCTTTGTGACATTTAGAATTCCTTTGAGAGGAATTTTCCAACTTAAAGGATTTTTTCCCTCTTATAAGTATTTTATAAGTCTTGCAGAATGATTAATCATTTTTCTAAATAAAACATTTACTAGTCAATGTCTAAATATGGTATTTGAAAATGCAAAGAGATTTTCCTTTGGCTCCTCTTGATATAAAACATTTCTGAATTTTTTGGGATTGACATTTTCAGGCTTAAATGGATCAAAAGGTTTGAGACGATAGTGCTGGGATGTATTTACCTGGTCACCCAGCTGCTTTATTGCTCTGCACTTGTTTGTTAGTGATTTGGGGGTATTGAGTCTGGGAGGCCCCAGTAGTGCTCCATTTCATTACATCATGTTTTCATTGTTTATATAGTTATACAGAGCTGTGGGATGAATCATTCTATTTTTGAAGGTTTAATGGGCTTCGTAAAAAAAAAAAAGGAAAGAAAAAGAGTGCCTATTAATGTCTGTTACACTCTCTCCTTTCAGTTCCCATGTAGCTCATTTCCTTAGCTGCCATGTTTCCTTCTTTGTTTCTATCCATTATCAAGATTAGTTGTGCTAAACTTCCAAACTCTTAAGAAATACTGAACATACTGTCTGTCTTTGTGAAGGTGTTCTGAACTATAAAGATACTATAAAAAAGAAAAGAATCGAAATAGAAATATAGACATTGCAAAAATTAATCACAATGATGATTAGAGAAGAAATATAAGATGAATCTTAATCAAAGGTTAGAAAATTATCATCCCAATGATATGTGATTCAAATATCAATATATTTTTTTATAATGGTAGTTATTTATTTTTTTTAAGATTTATTAATTTATGCATACAGAAGTGGGGTACAGGCCAGAGGTGCAGAGGCAGTGAGAAGATTCACCAGAGATAGAGTGGGGAGCAGAACAGGCTGACTGATGAAGTACACAGCTGAGGGGAGCAGTGGGTGAGATAGGAGAGGTCTGCTGTGCCATGTGGATCACCTCTGGGGCTGGGGATTGAACCAGCATGAAGCTTCTGCAGCCAGTTTACAGTGCTGTACTTTAACCCATTGCATCACTAGGGAGGGCCCTGTTTTCCTTTATTAAATAAAAATTTTAAATATATTTATAGAGTTATTCAAGACTTTTATTGCATATTATCCCTCACATGTGAAATTTTTACTGACATTGTCTACTTAAGACTCTGTCTTCTAAGAAAGCTAAATTATGGAGTAAGTAACCACTGAGTCATTGTATAGTACCAACTATACAACTAGTCTCTATTATTTACTCTTTACATTCAATCATTTGTTCACATGTAAGCACTTTGCTAGGAGTGTGAGCACTTGAAAATAGAGGCTAGATCTATTCATCTTTAAAACACAGGCAGAGTGAATCCCTTAACAGTTTCCAATAAATCTTGTTGAACACCACAAATGCCTTCATGACTGAAAGTCTCAGGGAAGAAGCATCATTAAATTAACCCCTCTCTTATCTGTTTTTTTTTTTTTTGTATAATTTTGTGATAGGAGCTTTACTTACTGGCCCATAATATGACTTTCTAATCCAAAGGTGTTTCTTGACTTGTATTATTGGATATTGGTATATATGCATATATTTATTGTTACTATTTCCTGAGTATCTCCTAGGCATCTTAATATCTACTTTAATAAAACCCTCCTTAATTAATGTAGGTTCTTTACATTATTTTTCTCCCTAACTTTCTTCTTTCCCTATCTAATCTATATCAGAACAGTTATACAAAGATAGAATCATCACAAAAGCACTTCTTTTCTTTGGGATGCTAAATCCGAGGTCTAAATCACTTTTAAATAATTTCTTAGTTCCCTTCTCAGTTCTATGACAACTATGTTCCTTTAGAATTCTAATTAATAATGATGCTTCCAGAATCTTTAAATTGAAAGTAGTTCCTTTCCCCTGGCTACATAGTTCAATAATACAACATATTTTTATTGTTTGTAGCTAAATCTCACATTCTATTGACTGGTAACATAAGACTGTTCAGATTATTCCATGATATTATTTCCCTAACCACATCTCATGTCACACCATTATATGTATTCTCAGCACAAAACAATTTGTGATCGTTTAAAGTTCTTTACCTGTTGAATGTCTTTATTTCCTTCCTCTTTTGTATCTACCCATTTTCATTCAGCAAACTTTTCTTTCCTTTCAAAGAAACAATGTTTTAATTTTCAGGCTGGATTTTGGTCCTTTTTTGGATTCCCAATAATTCTGGCCATATTTCCAATATAGAACTTTTCAGTACTATTGTTGGTGCCTTTCTTTTCTAATAAACTGTGAGTCCCTTAAGGAAGGAAGGCATGGTATGTACTTCTATGTCATATTACCTATTACAGAGTTTGACAGAAAAAAGGTAACAAATACAGATCCCTTTATATAGGAAATATTTGATAAACACAGTCAGTTCAATTGAATCTCAGGTGAAGAATCCACTGGAATACATTGGAAAGTGGAGTGGAGCTAATATGTTTATCTTTGTTGTATAAATGTCATTTAGAGGCAACAAAAGTCCTCTGATCATCTCCCCAAGTATGAGAATTCAGTCTCTTGGTTTGTTTGTCCTAATGAATTTTTCTAGTCTCCATTCCTATGGATGTTATTTAACTACTCAAACTCACAAAGATTTCATTCAGTTACTTTACGGAATGGAATTTAGTTTAGCCTTTAAAAACTCTTTCCAGCCACTAGGTTATCATTTAGTTAGAGGATTGTGGTTGGAGAGTGAGTGTGGAAGTGATGGTGGTTTATGACGATATTGCAGGAAGCACATAAATGACAGAAGTGATATTCAAATGTGCAACATGAGGAAAGGATAACTGGGTGTTAGGTAAGCTCCAACAATGAGATAATTCCAGTCTAGTCTCAAGGTTTCAGCTACCAAGAAAATTTTGAAGATTTAAAAATAGACATATTATGTTCTCTGTCACATTCCCAGACGTGGAAGGACTCCTCTGTCACATTCTCAGACTCTGTGTGTCCTGCAAGACATATACAATAGGCAAGAGGACTTCAAGTCTAGACAAAATTGAGGCAAGAACCAATGTTACAAATTCCAAAAGGGGGGAAAAAAACCTCAAAGCAAAATAACACCATTCTATATTCTTATAAACCTAGATGAGCTTAATATCAAAAGTGTTGCATCAGCTTTATTTTTCTCTTCTGGAGAAATAAAGTAGTGGGGGAAAGGAAAAAAAGTTCAAGGAGGTGGATATATGACTTGTAGCTTGTATGTTATGGTAAAATATTGAGTGAAAGAGCACTTCTGTCAAACTGCTAAAAACTGAGTTGGATTATTATGAAATTTGAATACAAGTACAATAGATAATTTTTCAAAATGAAAGTAAAATAGCACTTATCACTCAAAAAGCATTCAAAAAGGGTGTTAAGTGTGATGATTGTTAGGAAGTTTATCAATAATACTTCAAAAAAGGAAAAAATAAATAGTATTTTGTTTGTTATTTATACTCCATAAAATTATGTGTCTGACCCAAATTGCACAAAACCATTAGGTTCATTTTAGGGGGGGGAAATCTTTTATAATTTATTTTTGTTGCTAGAGTTTAAATTCAAATATTAAATATTTTATCAGCATATTTTTCTTAATTTAATTTTGTTACTAAACAGAGTGGATAGTATCATCTCAGGATTCATTTATTAGGAAAACTGCATATCAATAAATCTTTGATTAAAAATGTTATGAAAGGTCTTGTTAAAGAAAAATTTTGAAAGAAATTCCCTTTATTTGTGAAATGTGTGGAAGTCAACTTCATCACAGCTATCTTTTATGTTTAAAGTTTAAAGTATCCATTTGTTTTAGTTTAAGTGGGTTTACTGAGAAAAATCAAGTGATGGAAATTTCTACATCAATAATAAAAATGTGATTGGTCAAATCAGCTAACTGCTTTGTGCTTTGTTACTATATATATATATATATATATATATATATATATATATAGTGAAATTGGACTAATTATGTAAATGTCTTACAGGATTTAATATTTAATGATTCTTTAAAATCTCAAATATCTAAAAAAAGTTGACTCAGAAACACATTATATTGTGTGGAAAGTCAGCATCATGATGGCTTAAAATACTTCTTCTACTTATTAGATCCACAACAAATGGCTCAAGGGTAAGGAG